AAAAAAAAAAAAAAAAAAAAGATTAGCTTTTGTGTGAGAGTGTGTGTATGCGTGTATGTGGGTGGGTGGGTGTGAATGTAACTGCTCAGGTTACCATTTGGAGATAATGAATACCATATGTGTCAAGTATTGTTCTGACTAAGAAAATCTAACTAAATTGAACTTGTGGATGAATAGTCTTTAATTTTAAGGCATAGATGCCATAGAAATTAAAAAATAATAGTGGTGCCATGCCTCCTTGCAAGTGCAAGGTCCTGAGTTTGACCCCTTGTCCTGAAAAAAAAAAAAACTTTAGGTACCTAATATGAGTGGAGTATTAATGTTTGTATTACTCATGAAAACAAGGTGATAGAAGGCAAAAGAAAGCTCAACTCAAAGGTTGCCCTGGTTACTTATATCTCTGCCCTAATATCCACATCTGTGAAGGAGCGATAGAACAACTTTTTTTTTCCCCCAGCAGTTATATAAAGATTAAGGATCTGACATGTTCAAAGTGTTTGACACAAGGCCTAAGAGTAACCTTTTATTAAATGGTGACTATTACTGTTGTAATCTGATTTCACTGAATTAACATCACTTATGTAGGTAGAATTTTTAAAGGATGAAATTTAGAAATAATTTAGCAGAGGTGTTACCTAGTTTTTCCAGCTTTTTCATACATTCAGTTTTAATGGAATGGTAATTTTAAAACATGTTATCATGTAGCAAGTTTTTCTCATTGCATTTAAATTTCAAAGGACTTAAAATACAGTTTTAATCAGAGTATTTCTACAAGCCATTAAATTTCAACCTTATCTAAAGACAACAAGAATAGGTTTAGGAAGTGTATTTACATTTGTTCCTACCTTATAAACAACTAGTTGAAAAATCTCTCAATTCATATTAAATGTTAATGTTGTGCCAATAAAAAGGAGGCTTTTCCAGTCAATTTTATCAGTTTTCAATTTTTGTTATAAAAAGAATTAAGAGTTTTTTCAGCTGGTTATTTACGAAGTAGAAAAAATAATAACTAATCATTCCAGCCATTCCTTGATCTCATACACCCTCATCTTCATACTATTTCAATACTGCTTATGGCTCAATGTTTATATTTTTGTGTCTTTTTTATAACTGAAATTCCCTTTCTATAAAAACCCATTTCTTGTTTTGGAAACAAGATTGTAATTTGCTTCATAAAATGGGTTAATCTTCTCTCTTTATTTTCTTATTCTCTAAAATGATTTGTTTCTTATTTTTTAAAAGGTGGGGTAATATTCTCTATTCACTGAATTGTTGATATCATTTCTGCAAGCAATGTCTAGGCATAGTGTCTATTTTTAGTTTTCACTTATAAATTCATTTTCTATAACTTAAATTGTTGTTTTTTCTTGTGCCAATATTGGTACTTCTACATTGGCACAAAACAACAAACAAAAATTCCATCAAATCCTTTCAACCTATTAGAATAAAATTATTCAAAATAGTTATTTATAATTTTAATCTGCTTTAAATCAATAATTGTTTACTCTTTTGATATTTAATTTGAATCTTTTTTCTTTCCTGCATAAAGTTTGTATTGATATTTTCAAAACTTTTGACATTATTACTCCTTTCAAATTTCTGCTCTTAATTTCAATGATTTCTACCCTTAATTTAATTTTTTTCCTTTTTATTTCTTCAGCTCTGTACCATTGTTCTTTGTCTGTCTGAGTTACCCAATTCATTAGTTCTCCAAAAACTATGTAAATAAATGTAATAAATCATAAATTTCCATCTAAATAGTGTTTTAACCACATATCATAATGTTTCACATATAGTACCTTCAATGTCACTTTGTTCAATAAATGAGATTTCCTTCATAATTCCTTTCTGATTTTTTCTCTGTTTTCTGAGTTAATAAATATGCATATATATGTATATATATATGTATATGGTAACTTTATGCACATATATATGCACATGGTAACTTTTATACTATGTATGAATATTCATATATATGTGTTGTTGTTTTCTTCTGTTATAAATTTCAGGGCTGAAAATAACTTTGACAGTAAGATATATAGGCTTTGATTCCAATAGTTGTGTTCTAGGAGTACTCTAAAATGCAAGGTCCACAAACTGTAGACTCAAAGACAAGCTTTACTACTCAAAAATGTCATACAATGCTTTAAGAATAATTACCTAGCAAAGTTTTAAAATATGCACGTTTGGATTAAATAATGGGTAATTTTTTTTTTGTTAACCTTAGACAGCTCTCTATCGTAGTTTTAATCAACATTTCAAAATATTTTAATGAATGTTAAATCAATAAACCACACTATTTTGGTAAGAAGAACAATAAGTGTTTCAGTGACTCTGTAAGAACTTAATTTAAAAAATATTGTAAATATATTACATATTATGTTTTTTGTGGGTTTTTTCATAAAGATTCATTGACTGCCAATGAGGAAAAACCTGGAAGACACTTTAATAAAAAAAAGCCTGCACTGATTTCTTTAATCACATTTGCTAAAATTCATAAGAAACAAATATTCTCCATGTAATACACCGTTTTTAAGAATCTATTTGTTTTAATTTTTATAATAGTAATATCATTTCATTGCAAAGAAAATCTTTTTTCATGCCCCAGTATCACTGTAAATGTGAAGCTTGTTATAATGTCAATAGAGCACATTTGATTATTATATCCTGGGAGATTGTTTTTAAAAATTATAAGAAAACAGTAGAGAGAAAAATAATTTAATTTTCTCATTTATCTTGATATATTTGTGAACAAAATCTTAACATTTTCCTTTTAAAAGTTTAGTTTTCTATTGAGTTCTCTCTGATCAATAAATTTATACGACAGTCTCAATATGCTGAGATAAGTGAGTATATCAACTGAGAAATGTTTGCAAATATGATGGAGTATCAAAACACTAAAAATTTTAACCATAACTCTATCTTCTGCTAGTTTTAACGAGCAAATAAAGAAAAAATATGTAACTTGGCTTGAAGATGTGCTGCCTTATTTCAAACAAATTCTGGTTTGTTATTTGTCAGGAAAAGTTTTTGGGAAACTTTCACTTAAGAAAAATTTATAGCTTACCTAGAAATTGTTTTTCTCTCAATTCGATACTTCTGAAAAAGAATGAGGTTCCTTTTGTGATTGTGTTCTCAAATATACCATATGTTTCACTTAAATTATATTTGTAGTTCTCTTTTTCCTACACTCATTTCCCCCTTTTTCTGTTCCATAGAGAAAATTATGACATCAACATCCAAAGGAATCCTCCGGCCATTTTTAATTGTCTGCTTTGTCCTGGGCTGTTTCATGGCGTGTCTGCTTATTTACATCAAACCTACCAGTAGTTGGATCTTCAGTCCAATGGAGTCTGCCAGCTCAGTGCTGAAAATGAAAAATTTCTTCTCATCCAAAACTGATTATTTTAATGAAACTACTATTCTGGTGTGGGTGTGGCCATTTGGGCAAACCTTTGATCTTACATCCTGCCAAGCAATGTTCAACATCCAAGGATGTCATCTCACAACAGACCGTTCACTGTACAACAAATCACATGCAGTCTTGATACATCACCGAGACATCAGTTGGGATCTGACCAATTTACCTCAGCAAGCTAGGCCGCCCTTCCAAAAATGGATTTGGATGAATTTAGAATCACCAACTCATACTCCCCAAAAGAGTGGAATTGAGCACCTGTTCAACCTGACTCTAACTTACCGCCGTGACTCAGATATCCAAGTGCCTTATGGCTTCTTGACAGTAAGCACAAACCCATTTGTGTTTGAAGTGCCAAGCAAAGAGAAGTTGGTGTGTTGGGTTGTAAGTAACTGGAACCCTGAGCATGCCAGGGTCAAGTATTACAATGAGCTAAGCAAAAGTATTGAAATCCATACCTATGGGCAAGCATTCGGAGAGTATGTGAATGATAAGAACTTGATTCCTACCATCTCTACTTGTAAATTTTATCTCTCTTTTGAAAACTCAATCCACAAAGATTACATAACAGAAAAGCTCTATAATGCTTTCTTGGCTGGCTCTGTACCTGTTGTTCTGGGACCATCCAGGGAAAACTATGAGAATTATATTCCAGCTGATTCATTTATTCATGTGGAAGATTATAACTCTCCCAGTGAGCTAGCAAGGTACCTAAAGGAAGTTGACAAAAACAATAAGTTGTACCTTAGTTACTTTAACTGGAGGAAGGATTTTACTGTAAATCTTCCACGATTTTGGGAATCACATGCATGCCTGGCTTGTGATCATGTAAAAAGGCATCAAGAATATAAGTCTGTTGGTAATTTAGAAAAATGGTTTTGGAATTAACGTTTTTCACCACTTGCACATTTAGTAAAATTTTTTGATGAGCCATCATCCAAATATTGAGGATAACAAGAAAAACAATATTCTGATTTTCTATCACAATTTATTTTTATCACCCACTCATGGGTAATGTGTATATTTTGATGGAGATGGAGAATTTTAAGTGCTCAACGTTACCAATCATTCCATTTGGTTTTAAATTATCCTGTATATACCTAAGTATGTTCACTGAAAATAATTTATTCTTCATTATCATTTATAAACATTCTTATTCATATTTTTGTATTTGTCTGTAAGTTGATGATTCTATTGTTGTTGCTACACTGATCAACTCTTCAATCTATTTGGGCAATGAAGATGCATATTTCACATCTTAAAGCATGAAGGATTTTTACTAAACATTATAATCTACAATTCCAAGTTTGCTTAATGTTAACAAGGGAAGAATGTTCCACAATTACATTCTAACCTATTTTGCTTCAGAATTGAGCAGTGTATAACTACTGATCTATTTTGTTCCTGTTTACCACATGGGTAAAAGTAGACTTATTCATGCAATGAGTAAGATATGAAGCAGACCTGTTCTATTCAGGAAGCTACTATGTTTCACACTTATTCTCATTAAGCTGACTTGCAAATGCGGTCACTTATTCTTGAAGTTTTCAAGAACTCTTAAATATCTAATTTGTTGCGATTCTCAGTACATGCAGAATAATACTAATAACACTTAAAAGAGCTTAGGCTAGTTCTCAATCTTCATAATATTCATTGTGATAATAACACAAATGATTTCCTCAAATAACAAAGAAAAGGGTACCTATGGGTACAAATGAGATTTATAAATGGCCCTATTTATGTATAATTCCTAATTACTTATCAATTTAAAATATTTTGAGGCACCAATATTTCAAGAAGTTTTATTTTACCTTAGAGACAAGCAAATACACATAACATTTGAAAAATTCACCCTACCATTTGAAAGTTAATAAATAAAATCGACAATGACATATTAAATTTAATAAAGTGATGATCTATTGGAAACACACAATGCTAACCCCAAGTAGGATTCAATTAATAATTTTTAATGAATTAATGAATGGCACTGATATTCATATTAATTTTGTTTGTTTCAATGAAGGGACAGTTGTAGCTTGAAGATAGTAATCAAATATGATGTTTTATATAACATTTTAGTAATTATTCATAAGTAGCACATATAACTTGGGTCTTCAGAGCTTTACAAAACCAATATAACCTAGTACAGCATGAAAGTTTTGCAGAATTCATTCCTGAATTTTTATTTACCTATAGAATTTCTCCTCCACAAGGTTAGAGAAGAGGAAATCTGGATATAAGCAAAAATAGTAAGTGAGAAAAGCCAGGTGCTAAAGATTTTTCAAAGGAAGCATCTTCAAAAAAGAATCTCTACTGCCTTTCTGTATTTTACTCTTGCCAGAATCCATCAAATTTATTAGAAGTTTAGATGGCATCCACTTGGCTCTATTTTTACTTATTTTAATAATGTTATTATATATTGATATCAGTTGAACTCAGACTCACAATCTTCTGCACTTGATAAAAACTAGAGATAAATTTCAGTTCATTAAGAAGGCAGTATCACCAATAATCAAGATTGCCTTGTAAGAGCATGTTTTCCTAGCACTGGAAGGATTTGAACAAAGGAAAATTCCTGAATTAAATAGAAGATTGTTTGATCCTCAGGTTCATTTCCTTTGCCATAATTATACAGATAAATAGTGTCTGCTGGGGCCTTAAAAAAGACGAAGAGGAAAATGTACTGGCACAGCCTAACGGCCTCAAAGGAGCTTAGAGGCAGCAGAAAGACATAGGGAAGCTTCCTTTCACTGTCACCCTGAATCTATGTCTGTGCACATACTTTTTTCTCTGTGGAGTTTAAGAGTCACTGTTCATTTAATGAGATAAAAGATAGCAGGTTTCCCCAGTTGTTTAGTTCCTCATTGTTTCGTGGCTGCAAATTTTTGTCTACTCAATTGATCTAACATAGATTAACTGTGTATTACCTTTTCTATCCACGCTGTCTTTTGTGCATCAAGGAATAATGTGTCTTCATGGATGTCCTCATAGATAATAAAGATCTCACTCACATTTATTTTATTGTTATAATAGTTAAACTCATAATTCACATGTATTTTTCATTTTTGATCAAATACTGAGATGTAAAGAATATGCATTGCTAATAAGTTTAGAAAGTTATTACTTTCACAGAAAGCTGAAAACCATTTTGCCCTGCCTTTGCTAAAGTGAATAATGATTATTTTAAATTACTGGAAAAACATGAGGAAAATTGTTTGCATTGGTGACTATGAATTTTAGCTCTTTCTTAGATTGTACTTAAAATTATATGCTGATAATATGATCCAAGCCAAGGGTATAAGGGCATAACTGGTACCTCTCTATGTTGAAAACTATTACCTATCCAAGAATAATAAAAATTTCAAATTTAAAGTGCCAAATCAATGTGTCAACTAAACTCTGAGTTTCAGGGCTAGAAGGAATTATAGCAACTTTATAAACCAATTTTTTTCTATTGAGTTAACTAGATCCAGAAATGATATTTATTTAAGACATATATTCACTCACATACAGACAGGAACATCTGAACATAGCAACAGTAGTTAAGATGAGAACATAAGGGTCCTATCTCTCCATCATTCTCATCTGATCATAGAAGTGTTTCTGAGCTGGGTGTGGTGGCGCATGCCTGTAATCCCAGCACTCGGGAGGCTGAGGCAGGAGGATCACTGTGAGTTTGAGACCAGCCTGGGCTGCATAGTGAGTTCCAGGTCAGTCTCAAACTACATAGTGAGACCCTCTCTCAAAAAAAAAAAAAAAAAAAAAAAAAAAAAAAAAAAAAAACAAAAAAAAAGAAGAAGTGTTTCTGAATTTCTACAAATATAAATATCTTATTGGCATTATTTAGGGCCTATAGGATGACATATTCTCTAAAAGAACTTCAATCTGAAGATATTTAATAAATAAAACATAAATTTTATTAGCATTTCTTCTGATTTAAAGACTTTAGGAGTTGGGCTTTATCAGAAGAAAATGAGTTTTCACTGTATTTAAGTTAAATGCAACCATTAAGAAACTATATGGTTCTCAACCACTCCTATAATAAATCCTGTGGGTTACAATTCTTTGTGAGGCTCTCTCTTGTGAAAGTTATACTGAGTCAACAAAACTGGCTTGCTGTTTGTTGTAAAAACAAATAATTTTGCCTGGGAATAAATTATGGAAATGAAAATAGGCCACTTAAAACTTATATTTCAAAATATGAAAAAGAAGATTATTCCAATCTGAATATTCAAATACTACTTGTGGTAGGACTTAAAAATAAATACCATGTATTATAGTCCTTACCAATAAGAATACATACAGAATTATCACTGTTAGCAGTATTGGAAAAGAAAGGACCATAGCATTCACATATTTTATGACAGCCATAAATTTTACAATGTGAAGTAGAAACTTTAAAAATTGTCTTGGTGGGAAGTTAATATTAGCTTAAAATTTTCATGTTTACCATAAAACTCCTGAAAACCAAGAAAGTAGAAAAAAAATGTCATGGGCTCTTAAAAAATCTCAGAGCATTTGAAATGTAAAGTGACAGAATATTTCACAAGTATTTGCTAAAGTTTCTTATCTCCATTTGGAGGTTAGATATGAAAAAAACAGAAGCTGTTCTACTGCTACTTTTTTTCTTGCTTTCAGACTGATTTATATGAGTCCTGAGATAGCCACCTAGAAATTGTTTTTGTATAAAATAATATTTCCCAAAAGAATTCTAGGTCCTTACATAACAACTGTGCTCAGTCATATTTTTTAGTCCCTTTGAACGCTCAGCTCATTTGGGGGAATTTCTTAAATTATAACCCAGCTGTTAAATATAACAGATTTCAGAATCTATATGATTAAGCATAGCATCAAATGCAGTGAAAAATAGTTTTTCAATAGATAAATTGTTAGTAGTCATGCAAAAATATTATTAATGTAGTGATAGCATCAGCTTCTTGGTTCTAATTGGATTGATATTTTATATTCATTTTATGGATCAGTTTACTGCCTTGATGCAGATGAAAATCATTATAAGCTTGGTCTTTCCTACTGAATTCTAAGACTCCCCCACCAAGAAAAATATATTACAAGTATTGAAAAGGATTTAGAAATTGATAACATTATATTTAAATATTAGTTACACTATTTTAAAAGAAATTAAAATTAGTATACAGGAAAGTATAAACTGCAAGCACTATGAACAGCGGATATTTATTATCAAACTATGCACAGAGAGAAATATAGTTTATTACCTCTTTTACTTCCTAAATTAATGCTATGGTATCACAAACAGCAATTAAGATTTTTTTGTTTGTTTTGTACTGGGGATCAAACTCAGGATCTTTCACTTGTGAGGCAGGCAGCGGTACCACGCAGCTAAGTCCCTGTCCCCTGTTTAAGATGGTTTTGTTTTTCTGGATGTGTGTTAGACACTTTTGTCATATTTTGCAAGTAGATAAGCTTCCCTACTACCCAGTCTATTCTCGCTCTCAGTAATTCATATGATATAGTCCATACTCATAAATATTTTACAAAGTGTTTGCATAACCTAAATGAGAGATATAGCTAGAAATATGAATAATGCTACTCTGAGTTATTAGTTTAACAAACTGTTATTGTGAAAAAGCCACTTAACCTCTCTGGGCCTTGTTGTTGTAATGTTCCTTCTAGCACTGTTGCTCTTCAATTGATATATGGATGTATTAGAAAATGAAATATCAATGTCATCTCAAAATAATTTGGGGAAATACATATTCCAAAGAGACATTTAAAGCATAACATTGATTATTTAAACTAATACATGAAACGAACATAATCTTTGTCCTTTATTAGCACTTAAATTCAATTAGCTAACCTTCCTCCTTTTACTTCTCCCTCCCCTTACCTGTCTGCCAACCTTTTTGGTAACTTGCTACTCATTACTGAGTAGTTACTTTTTAGTCACTTTTGTAACTCATTACTGAGAACTTACTTGATGGCAGAAAAACAAGCATATATTGGACATTATTTTAAA